GCTTGTGTGCGTGCGTGTGCGTGTGTGTGTGTGTGTGTGTGTGTGTGTGTGTGCGTGTGCCTGCATGCAGTTGCACATCAGTCATTATTTTGTGTCTCTTATCCCAGTCACATCCCATGTTTATTTAATCTTTAATATGTTTGTCTCTCCACTAAGTGTTTTAATGCTTTTTAATCCTGCAGTGATTAACATTGTGTGTGCGTCTCACCATTGTTTTTTTTGTGTTCCCTGTGTTTTGTATGTTACTCCCTTCATGTGCTTATGTCTGTCCCACAGCCGCAAGAGGTATGTACTCCCTGCAAACCGCAAAACTAACTGTCTGAAAACCCGTATTTCTGTTCTGCTCTCTCTCAATCTCTCATTGCACAAACATTGTCTTTTTTCTGCTGTGGGTTCCAAGTAATGACGACAATATTCCTGATGAGTTGTGAAATGTTTCTGTAAGAATAAGAGGGGCATGCATGAGCACATATTCAGGGTCATGAATGGTTCATCTGCTTTCGTTTTATAATCTGGCACGGGTGCTTATATATAAGTTCTGAAGGGAAATCACTGTGGATCTGTCCCTTCCTTCGTTCATTCTCCCTTTTTTGCTCCAATTTCTCATTCATTTCATCCTCTTCATCAGGCCCTTCTCTTTGTTGGTGATGAAGATTCCCTCTCTCACGTCTCTAGGACTGCGTTCTTTGCGTGAAATCAGTGATGGCAGTGTGTACATCACTCAAAATAAAAACCTGTGTTATCATCACACCGTTAACTGGACCCAGATTGTCACCAGTAACTGTGATAATGACATCAAGGACAACAAACCCCAGATTAAGTGTGGTAAGTAAAGTTAAGAATGCATACTACTTCTTTCACATATGCATGTTATTATTTTGTCGTCCATCGTTAACCTGTACACAAACAGTCCTTTGTTTCGCATGTCTGTGTTTGTGTAAACAGAGGAAGAGGGCCATGTGTGTGACCCACTGTGCTCAGACGCAGGATGTTGGGGCCCGGGGCCGGAGCAGTGTTTGTTGTGCAGGAACCACAGTCGGCATGGCACCTGTGTATCCCACTGCAACCTCTACTCTGGGTCAGTGTGCTTGGTAGATTTATTGTAAGTTTATTAAAAGTTGGGACAGTGTCTGAAGGACTGTGTGTGTCCACAGAGAGCCACGGGAGTTTGCAGCATCAAATGGAGAGTGCCTTGCTTGTCACCCTGAGTGTTTACCCCAAAATGGAAAACAGACATGCAAAGGAAAAGTATGCAACACTTTTAATTAGCCTAGCTGTCCACAGGGGAAACATTTCGGTGTTGATATTGTTGTTAATTTGATTCAATTAAATAAAACTGAAATAAAATCTAAATATTAGATGAAAAATGTCAGTTTTTTTTTGCCAATATTTCTTTTTATTTTTGTTGTCGTAAAACTGAAATAAAAAATAAAGCTAAATATACTGAATAGCAAAATAACTAAAAATACAATTAAAATTAAAAATATTAAAATAAACCCCTGCCCTAGAAAGTGCGCAAAGCACGCTCCCTTTATCACTAAAAAGCGTCACTCATCTTCGTTCATCGCGATCTTACAAAGTTCCGTTATAATCAATGAAGCTCTCTAAACTGCACAAAGAATCTCTTATTTACATCGCGTCTGCACTTAATCATAAGATGATTCACGAGCGTGCAAAACTGCACTTAAAAAACTGCGGCGCTTTCAGCGGTGAGTGAATTCTGACAAAACGTTTCTGATTGTCCATTGCGTTCAAGAAATCAACAGGTATCTGTGCAACCCTCCCCACCCCCCTAATGTCGCCCATGCTAATAGTACATAAATAATACTAAAATAACACTGGTGCAAATGTGGCACTAAAATTAAATTAAATTAAGACTGATTATTTTTTGAAATTGTGACTTATTTGTTTATTTATCAATTCTGATAATTTCATCCACATTTGGGGCCCCATAGCTTTCTCCCTCTCTCATCTTAATAGATTTCATCTATCAGTCTGTAAATCCATTTTAGGCATGAAGCAACTCTATTAAAAGCTTGAACGTTCAGATACTAGTTTCTGTTCCTGTGCACAAGTCATATCCTAGCTTTTGTAGTCTATAAAATAACACCGTCTGCGTATCCTCTTTTAGTTCGATTTTACCCCGCTTAGAGAACAGGAAAATAGCTTAGATTTTTCCCTTAGCTTAGATCTGCTGTTCATGTGGTTTGTTTTCTTGAACTTTATAATGTCCAAGCCTTTGTTTTTGCCAGTGCCTATTTGACACATTTTTAATCAACCTCTCACATCTTTCTGACTGTATATGATCGTGCTAGAGGGTGTTATGATAATGATGTGAACAAAACTATTTTACGGTAAAAAATTCCAACCCACACACTCTCTGTGTAATGTCTGCATGTTCGGTTGATTACAGTTAACCTGCCAGACAGGCTTTGCAGGCTCTTTGATTCAGAACTGTTCATTGTGCAATGCATCACTTTTAACAGTGACTTAATAAAAGAAATTCATGCGAACTGTTTGTCTTAGCACAGGTGCTTAGTTACAGGAATATTTGTTCTACTAATAAATAACTTATATAAGTTTGTCTTTTTTCTTTTTTTGTGCTTCAGGGTGCTGATCAGTGTGTAGCATGTTCGAACCTGATGGATGGCCCTCACTGTGTTTCTACTTGTCCTAATGGAGTGAACGGGGAAAAGGGTCAGACCATTTTTAAATATCCAAATGCAGAAGGTCATTGTGAGCCCTGTCACCTCAACTGCACAAGAGGGTAAGTCAGGCTAAACCTAATGTGATCTACAGGTGTCAGTTCCAATTGTTCATTCTGAGAACACTGTTTTATATTTTAATATAAAATTAATTTGTGGTTATTTTGTCCCCTCACCAGATGCACAGGCTCTGCACTCACAAACTGTATAGAGCTCGACAGACTTGTGAACAGGTTCGTAGCGCCCTCTTCTGGTTACAGTCGGAAAGTACAAACGGTGTCAGATGTAAACATCAATTATGTTTTCGTTAACCAAACTCCTTCCTCTTAGTTCTCAGATCGCAGGTATATCAGTTGCTGTGTTTGCTGGTATCATCGTGTTCCTGGCACTGTTTGTGCTTGGTTTGCTGTATCACAGAGGCCTGGCCATCCGCCGCAAAAGAGCACTGAGAAGGTACCTGGAGAGTGGTGAGGTGAGCCATTTCATCTGCTTAAATACAATGCACTTTACTTAACCTACATGAAAGTAAAAAGAAGGTACCATGCATTTTTAAATATATCTTTACAATCTATATAATAGCTCAGAAAAAAACATATTTTAAAATAAATACATGCTTTTGTAACATTTTACAGTAAGTTTTCATTTGTTAACCTTAGTTAGCCTCATTATTAAACAGGAACTACAAATGATTAATACTTCTACAGCATTTATTAATCTTAGTTAATGTTAAGTTCAACATTTATTAATGCATAAAAGCATTAATTGAAATCAAAAGTTGTATCTGTTAGATTAGGTAATGTCCTGGGAACTAACATGAACATGAGAGCATTTTTATAAATGATCAGTAACAAAGGTTAATAAATGCTGTCAAATTCATAGTTGATTGTTAGAGCTTGTTAGTTAATGCATTAATCATTGTTAACAAATGAGAGCTTATTGTAAGGTTTACAAATACTTTTATTAAGAAGAACATATTAAATTGATCAAAAGTGACTGTAAAGTAATAGTAAATATGTAAAAACTAATTGTTATTGTTTCAAATAAATTCTGTTCTTTTAAACTTTCTATTTGTCAATAAATCCTGAAGACAATGTATTATGTAAATCAAGGTTTTCATAAAGATATTAAGCAGCATAACTGATTTCAACATTGATCATAAAATGGTTCTTATACAACAAATCATCACATTACAATGATTTCTGAAGGATCATGTGACACTGAAGACTGAAGTAATGGCTGCTGAAAATTTGGCTTTGCCATCACAGGAATACATTTTATTTTAAAATATATTCAAATACAAAAACATTTCGTTGTAATAATATTTTACAGTATTACTGTTTGTATTGTATTTCTAATCAAATAAATGTAGCCTTGGTGAGCATGAGAGACTTTCAAAAGCATAAAAAAATCGACCCCAATCTTTTGTACATACAGCAAAGCTAGTCTAGATTAACATTGAATTGTATTAATATTGAGTAACTGAATAAACATTGCCTCCAGAAAGGATTTGTGATACTCAGACATTTTTAACTGCACCATAGTGTCCAAAAACTGTTGATGGCCACTGTACTTGACGGATTTCCTCCTGTCCTCACACAGAGCATGGAGCCGCTGGATCCAGGAGAGAAGGGGACAAAAGTGCATGCTCGCATCCTAAAACCACAAGAGCTGCGAAAGGGCAAACTTCTGGGCTACGGAGTCTTTGGCATTGTGAATAAGGTTGGAATGACTCACACATTAAGTTTGCCTTTGCTCAATTCAATCTTGAACTGAGTTACCTGTTCTCTGAACTGTGATCAAGCTTAAGTGACTTTATCCTCAGGGCTTTTGGATTCCTGAAAGAGACTCTGTAAAGATCCCTGTGGCAATAAAGACCATCCAGGACCGCAGTGGCCAGCAGACCTTCACAGAGATTACTGATGTGAGGCAATATAGCTTGCAATAATGTACATTCATACATACAGTATGTTGCTTCATGCTTTCATATCTATTTTCCACCCGTCCACAGCACATGCTGGCGATGGGAAGCCTGGATCACCCGTATATAGTGCGTCTCCTTGGGATCTGTCTGGGAACAAGTCTGCAGCTAGTCACCCAACTCAGTCCTCACGGATCCTTACTGCAACACCTTCGCCAACACAAAGACCGCCTGGATCCCCAGCGTCTGCTCAACTGGTGTGTGCAGATTGCAAAGGTGAGATGACTGAAGATGAGACATAGCGTGTAATACAAAACGTATTGGTGCATAATGTTTATACACAACATCTGTATGTATCTTTAGGGAATGTATTATCTTGAGGAGCACTGCATAGCCCATAGGAACCTCGCTGCACGCAACGTGCTGCTCAAGAGTGACTACATAGTACAGATCTCAGACTTCGGGGTGGTAGACCTGCTGTATCCAGATGATAAGAAATATGTGTACAGTGAACACAAGGTAATTTACAGATTAAACTTCTGATACACTACTGTTAAGTTTGGGTTTGGTATGATTTTTTTATGTTTTTTAATGTATGCTCACCAAGGCTGCATTCATGCATTTAAAAACAGTAAAGCAGTAATAATTGAACAAAAATTAAAACTTTTTTAATTTTATAATATATTTTAAAAAGGCAATTTGTAATAGCAAAGCTGAATTTTCAGCAGCCATTACTTCAGTCTTCAGTGTGACACATGATCCTTCAGAAATCATTCTAATATGCTGATTTGTAACATTTTTATTGTTATCAATGTCGAAGGCTGTTTTGCTGCTTAATATTTTGTGGAAACTGTGATACATTGATTCTTTGATGAATAAAAAGTTCAAAAGAACAACATTTATTTGAAAATAGAATATTTTGGAACAATTTAAAAGGCTTTACTGTCACTTTTGAACCATTTAATACATTATTGCTGAAAGTATTCATTTTAAAAAGCCTTTCAACAGTAGTGTATTAAATTAAATAAAAATTTTAAAAGAAATATATGAAATTAATATAAATTGTTAATACAAAATATTAATATACATGAAAATATTAAATATTTTATATGTATAAAATATGTAATATCAATGTAATTACAAAATATGCTATATATATATATGTATGTATATATATATTCTCACACCACCCAGTGAAGGGGGTGATAATCTGTTATTTTTTTTATGAAAATAAGTGTAATAAAAAAGCATCATCTGTTGATGTTTTAAGATGGTCTCTTTTTCAGATGCCAATAAAATGGATGGCATTAGAGAGCATCCTCTTCAGAAGATACACTCATCAGAGTGATGTGTGGAGCTATGGTGAGTCTCAGTGCTGTTGAATATCAGGTGTTTGATTTAGTTTAGTTGTTTGAAGTTCTTCCTGCTCATTCCAGGGGTGACTGTATGGGAGATGATGTCAGATGGAGCCGAGCCATATGCATCCATGCATCCTCATGATGTGCCAGGTCTACTGGAGAAAGGAGAGCGACTGGCTCAACCACAGATCTGCACCATAGATGTCTACATGGTCATGGTCAAGTGTAAGGCAGATGCTAAACATTTAATGATTTTAAGCGCTGTTAGGGCACTGAACAGCTTTCTAAACACAATTTTAACCCCTCTATCCTCAGGCTGGATGATTGATGAGAATGTAAGGCCTACATTTAAAGAGCTCGCCAGTGAATTTACGAGAATGGCAAGGGATCCGCCACGATACCTTGTGGTGAAAGTAAGAAAACAAGATTTCATTTGAAAATGTTCACCAGGAAGCAGGTTTGTGATTGCTTTTAACATTGATTTCTGTGTCATAATGTAGCCTCCTCAGAATTGCGTTGGTGCAGATGAAAGCCACCAACGATATGTTAAAAGCTCTCATTTAGAGGCAAACTTGGAGGAGGATTATGATGCTGATGAGGTATTGCATGATGGGTTTGCTACTCCTCCCCTCCAGCTGTCACCAACTAGAAGTCATTCTCGCCTCCGTATGGCCTCCTACAAGGTGAGATGTCTGCAATACACCTCTACAAACATTTTTTTCATGTTTACACTAAGTTTGGGTTCAGTGAGATTTTTTCATTTTTGAAAGAACTCTCTTATACTTACCGAGGCTGAATTGATTTGATGCAGTACAAAATACAGTAAAAACAGTAGTATTATGAAATATTATTACAATTTTAAATACATTTTTATTTTATTCTATTTTAAAATGTAATTTATTCCTGTGATTACTAAGCTTAATTTTCATCAGTCATTACTCCAGTCTTCAGAGTCACATGAGTCATTCTAATATGCTGATTTTTTTCAGGGTTCTTTGATGACTGCAAAGTTCAAAAGAACAGCATTTAATTGAAATCATTTTTCTCTCTCTTCAGGGCACCACAGAACACACAACACCGATAGGCTATCTCCCCATGACCCCAGGAGAAGACCATAGACAGGTCAGCTTTCATATCATCTTATCATGTTGTCTTGACTACAGTTATAGATATAACTTCAAGCTTTCAACTCAAATGAACTTTTTAATTATATCACAGTACGAACATGCATTAGATCAGCTAAATGTTTGCTGCCAAGGACCCCCATATATAATCCTCTTGCAAGAAACCCCTTTCATAAAATCTAAAGTCAGCTAGATATTTTTATGTTTAAAGACTCATTTATACTGTGTAAGTGAAAGCAACATTACTATTATTATAATATTACTTATATTATGAAATATGTTTTATTTATTATATATTATATTACCATACTGGAGCAAAATAATTTATCTAGAAAATACTGACTTTGCATTATGCAAGCAGTGGTTTCAACCTTTTTGATTCAAAGGACCCACACAATATTCAAATATTCAGTATTTCCGGGAATTCCGTTGTAATAATGACAAAGCTGCTTGTTTTTTTTGATATATATGACATTACTTAACTAATAATTAATTTTGTGACTCCAGAAGTGTAATATACCAATAGTTACTGAGGGAAAATATAAAGAAATATGATCTCAGTTTCGAGAAACATTGGTATTAAAGTGTAATATTACCAAAAAAATGTTTTCAATTTATTTCATATTTACTTGTATAGCGCTTTTTTAACAGTTAAAGGGATAGTTCACCCAAAAATTAAAATTCTGTCATTAATTACTCACCCTCGTTCCAAACCCATAAGACCTCTGTTCATCTTCGGAACACAAATCAAGATATTTTTGATGAAATCCGAGAGCTTTCTGACCCTGCATAGACACAATGCAACTGACACGATCAAGGCCCAGAAAGGTAGTAAGGACATCTTTAAAATAGTCCATGTGACATCAGTGGTTCAACTGTAATGTTATGAAGCTACGAGAATACTTTTTTTTTTTCAAAAATAACAACTTTATCCATCAATTTCTTCTCTTCTGTGTCTTCCGTTCACAAGAGCACCACAACGTAATTGCATACCATGCTGTATTGAACCGAACCTTACCGCTTGGAGGAAATAAGCCTCCGTATATATATATATATATATATACATACATACATACGTACGTACGTACGTATATATATATATATATATATATAGACCCTTGTTTGAAATCCACAGCATTAGATCACATTAGAAGACAGAATGTGAAGTAATCTATTTGTATTGTTCCCACACAGATGAGAGCCCAGAGGAGAAAGACGGGCTCAGTGAGGACAGAGTCAGAGTGCTCAGAGGGCAGAGGAACCATGGTGGACATTGAAATGGCTTCTCAAACAGGTAGCCTACGCAGAGGCCGCAGCCGTATGGACAGCGCCTACATGTCCACCGGTGAGTCTGTGGCCTCAGATCCGTTTTCTTCAGGTCTGGAAGGTGTAGACGAGGACCATTATGGATACGTGTTGCCCACAGAAAGAGGTAAACCAATACTGGACTCGCAGTTTATGTTTAGTCATTATTGAAACTGTATGCCATTTTTATGAGACATATCTTCTCATTTAGGTTCCAGAAGCACTTTTCCTCATGGTAGGGCATCCAGAAACTCCAAGAGTGCTCTTCCGCCACCAAAAACAGATGTACAAGAGTATGAGCTAATGAAAAAACAGCCCCCTCGGCTTTCTACTTCACCCACAGACAGCACTGATGGTTCATCAGCAATGTGCAACCCATCCTCCTCTGCTTCTCCCTACACATGCAGCCTTTTACCACAGAAGAGAGACACTGACTCAACACAAACCGAACAGTCAGATAAGGGTGCCAGTCCGCCTGAAGGGGACATTGTGGAGTCTGCTGCTGCTGCTTGTGAATACAGTCTGGTTGGAACAGTAACATGTACTGACCAGAACCAGTCTGAGAGCAGCCCTGTAGAGGAAGAGCCACCAACAGAGCCACAGCCACAAGAAGCGGTGGTCGATTATGAATACATGGACATACGGACAGACATAACCCAGCAAAACTGTCCCGCGAGCAGTCCAGATGAAGTGGAGAGTGACAGCAGAGAAGCGATTTACCAAAATGTAAGTGCAAGACATAAGGAGAACGAGGATTCTGATCTCACTACACGGCGCAGTGAATATGTGGACATGGAGGCTTCTGGAAGAACTGGCTCTGAGGACAGAGATCAGGTTGATTATCAGAACTTTCCGGTAGAGGGAAGACCCGTTATGGGAGAGGAGCCACAAAAGACTGGTCTCAGATCTTACATAAAAGTGTGTGCTGGAGTGGAGGCACAAAACACTTCATTTGACAACCCAGACTACTGGCACAGCAGACTGTTCCACAAGAAGGATGCCGTTTGCACATAATTATTGACTTCAACTGACTTAACATAAATAATGTGATGGATCAGTGGTGGAAACAGAATGGACTGGCAGTTTCTAAGGACGTATATCTACCATGTGTTCAGTATTTGAACATAAATTTATGCTAAGGTGCCAACAAAATAATATACTTTATTATAGTATAAAATCACTTGTATTGTTGAAGATTGGCCTACCTCCACTTGTGTGTCTCTGATGTGCAACTCCTGTGGTTTTGTATAGATTTATGCTTGTTTTTTAAGACGATGATTTTTGTGTACTCAATGAGGAACAAGTTTTTTTGGAAAAAAAAACAAAACAATTATTGTATATTGATTTTTCTCTGTTAGTAAAAGTAATCTTTCAAGTTTATTGTCTCCCATATTTAATTATTATTATACAAAAATATTTAGCTGTCACCAATGTTTTGTCAAGTTAGAGCAGGTCATTGTATTAAAAATATTTTATTTAAAATGTAAAAAAACATTTTATATAAAAAAAAAAGATAATATAAGGTTGAAATAAGTCTGTGAGTCAGATTGTTGCATATTTTTATTACTGTAATTTACAGGTAAACAGCAGAGTTAGAAAAAAATGGTCTAAAACCTGAATTTAGATCATGGTTTACATTGGATCATAAAATCGCCTATCAGTTATCAACACAACTTATAATATTTACATGTGTGCTTTCACTAGTATTAACTACTACATTTGGTTTTCAAGTCGAACATGACAATTTAGGATTTACTTTAACCACCAGTGTTTTGATTCACTAAAATGAACCGACTTTTAAGTCATTCGTTTGTTAATCTGAAACCAGCCCAGCTCAATGACATGTATACATTGTCAGATTTAGATTTCTTCACATAAATAATAAAATGAACATACTCACAGTCTGATAAACAGCAGATCTAGAGTCGTTTCATGAACCACGATAAACTCAACAAGGTGCTTGAAAATTACAACAAATGGCACATTTAAAGTGCAAACTATTGTAATTGTAATTTCATACAAATCCCATGCATGTTACTTTGAGAATAGAGACAACACAAAATCTGATGAAGGCAATAAAATAGTTATTTTAAGAGTTCCATTTGTATTCCAGTTTTTGAAAAAATTATAGATTGATTGGACAGGAAATTGCGCACAATAAAAATATTTGCCATGATATTTGTTATGATTTTTTTCTTTGTTTTCTTCACACATTAGCTGAATTTAGAACAACATAACATTTTGTGTGTGTGTGCGCGTGCGTGTGTGTGTGTGTGTGATACACAATAAATATTGAAATGATTCCGATTATTCAGAGAATAAAAGTTTCAAACAAAAAAAACTAAAAATAAAAGAATTTTAATTAACTTTAACAAAAATGTACATTTACATTTAGTCATTTTGCAGACACTTTTATCTAAAGCGACTTACAATTGGGGAATACATAAAGCGATTCTTCTTAAAGAGGCAAACAGATACAGGAAGTGCTCGTAATACCAAGTTTCAGGCATTTGTTCAAATAAGTACAAGCTAGAAAGGGAAGGAATAAATAAAGAGAAAGACAACGTTTTTTTTTTTTTTTTTCAAGTCAAGTAGCGTCGAAAGAGATGAGTTTTCAGCTGTTGCTTGAAAATTGTCAGGGATTCAGCATTCCGGATAGGGGTGGGAAGATCATTCCACCAGCCAGGAATGGTGAACGAGAATGTTCTGGAAAGTGATTTTGAGTCTCTCTGTGATGGTACCACGAGGCGTCGCTCACTAGCGGATCTCGGACTTCTGGAGGGGATGTAGATTTGTAATAGTGAGTGGAAGTAGGCGGTACTGAGCCTGCGGCTGTTCTATATGCAAGCATCAATGTCTTGAACTTGATTCGAGCCGCGACCGGTAGCCAGTGCAAGGAGATAAAGAGAGGTGTAACATGGGCTCTTTTGGGCTCGTTGAAGACCAGTCGTACCGCTGCATTCTGAATCATTTGTAGAGGTTTGATTGTGCTTGATGGAAGTCCAGCCAGAAGAGCATTGCAGTAGTCCAGCCTAGAAATGACAAGGGCCTGGACAAGAAGTTGTGCAGCATGCTCCGTTAGAAAGGATCTTGATCTTTCTGATGTTGTGCAATGCAAACCTGCAAGATCGAGCAGTCTTT